TTTAAAAAATATTGAAAATTTACATTTAATGAAATGCACACATTTTAAGTGTATACCATTCAAGGGTTTTCACAAATGCATAACCTAAACCCCTATCAAGATGTAGAATATTATTATCACTCTAGAATGTTCTCTCATGCCCCTTCAGTCAATCCTTCCCCCCACTCCCTCAGGGGCAAACACTTTTAAAAATGATTTTCTCACTAAAGAGTAGTTTGCCTGTTCTAGAACTTCAAATGGAATCAAATAGTATATTCTATTTTGTGTCTGGCTAATTTTGATCAACTTATTTTTAAGATTCATCATGTAATTATACATATCAGTAGTTTGTTCCTTTTTATTGCTGAGTAGTATTCATTGTATTAATATTCTACAGAACACATATCCATTTTTCTGTTGATGGACCGAGCTGTTTCCAGTTTTTTTGTTTTTTGTTTTTTGTTTCTGAGTTGAAGTCTCCTCTGTCATCCAGGCTGGAGTGCAGTAGCACACTTACAGCCACCCCAGTGTCGACCTGCTGGGCTCAGGCGATCCTCCTGTCTCTGCCTTCCAAGTAGCCAGAACTATAGGAACGTATTACCACACCCAGCTAATTTTTTAAAAATTTACTGTAGCGACGAGGTCTCGCCAAGTTCCCTGGGCTGGTCTCGAACCTGAGGGCTCAGGCAATCCACCCACCTTGGCCTCCCAAAGTGCTGGGATTATAGGCTGAGCCACCAAACCCGGCCTCCAGTTTTAGGCTATTATGAAGAACACTTCCATTATTGTTCTATAAATATCTTGGTGGACATATAATTTCATTCCTCTTGGAGTGGAATTGCTAGCGTAGTTGTATGTTTAGCTTTATAAGAAACTGTGAGATCATTCCTCATAGTGTTCATGGAATAGTTTTTCAACATTTTAAGTATAGCTACAAACAACTACAATTTACTGTTTTCTGTGGGTGCTGAGCACAGAACTTTACTAAGTATTTTACCTGATTCTTAGTGGGGCAAATATTATTATTCCCATTTTACATGTAAGATAACTGAGAGCCGGGCTCGGTGGCTCAGCCTGTAATCCCGCGCTTTGGGAGGCTGAGGTGAGTGGATTGCCTGAGCCCGCGGGTTCGAGACCCGCCTGGGCAACTTGGCAAGACCTCATCTCTACAATAAATCAAAAATTAGCCAGGCGTGGTAGCGCGTGCCTATAGTTCTTGGAAGGCTGAGGTGGAAGGTTCGCCGGAGCCCAGCAGGTCGAGGCTGCGGTGGCCAGGAGCGGCCACTGCACTCCAGTCTGGGCGACAGAGTGAGACTCCGACTTAAAAAAAAAAAAAAAAATGATAACTGAGGCATAGAGAATTAAATACTTGTTCAAGGTAGCACAGCTAGTAAGTGGCGAAGCTTGGATCTGAATCTGAGTAGGCTGGACTCCAGTTCCTGTGCCTCATGCTTCCTAGAATATAGTAGCAAAAAAAAAAAGTGGTTATTTATTTTCTCAGGAAATAAATTCATTTCCTAAGAATGAAAATTGGTCATGGTAACCAATCTAACAAGAGATAGCTGGAACAAGAATAACAAGAGATAAGGTGTTATCAATAGACACAATACTAATGTAAATTCTCAACCATTATTTAGATGTGGCATGTATGGTTAACAGGGAGTATGACAAATCCATCTAGCAAGGTCCCTTTATCCTCCTGAGCAATTCCTCAAAGTTATCTTCAAAGACACTCCACCTCTCCAGCCCTGCACAATCTACCTAGCTCTCTTCAAGAATAAGTGAAGGGTTCAACTTATGAGTCTCTTCTTTGGGCTGGTTAATAAGAGCATGGTACCTCTCCTTTATAATTAGGAGAGGAGCCTGAGGCTTTGTTGGAGAGGTGCATATCAGCTGTAATGAGGTAGGGAGCAGGAGTGCATTCCCTCCCATGACTTTTCTAAACTCATAGAGCTCAGTCTCAGACCCAGATCTGTTTTGGAATATTTCTAGGAAACTTTAGGCAAGGAGGAGGCCCAAAGGGAATACAACTCATTCTTTTGAGCCTAGAGCCCACCTCTTATCTAGGACTCACAGCCTAACCTCCCTCTCTTATCTTTGAAAAACTTTCTAAACCAGGGAAGTTTCAAAAAAGGATGCAACAGATTGGAGTTATTGGTTAGGAAAAGCTAGGAGTCCCTGAATCTTCTGAAAACAAGTGTATACTTCCATTGTGGCTCCTAAGTCAGGGGCCCATGAGAAAACCAGGAGAATAAGGGGTGGTTGGTGTCCCAAGTCTTTCCTCCTTCTTTTTAATGGTTCTGGGAAATATCAAAGTAATTTCATTCTAGGAAAGCTCTTGCAGGGTCATATAGTAGCCATCTGCGGTGGGTATATTTGTCAGGATCAAGTCTACATGCCTTGGGGTGGTGAAGGGCCCTGCTCTGGTGGGCCCAGCTTCTCACCTGGCCTGCCATTCCTCCCTGCATCCCAGGTTTAAGAAATTGCTTGCTGGTCCCTGTGGATACATTTCCACCCATTTGGCCCCAATAAGAAGACCTTGGTTTCTCCTCTCTCTTTCTAGAATTCCTATTTATCTCTGAAGAACTGAATTTTAAATTACAAATATGGTAATCATTTGTTTACTTACATACTCCACCTCCCCATCCTCTTTAGACTGATTTTCTCCCAGCTAGAAATGTCTTATTTTGTGTATGTCTGCATTTTTCCTAGTAAGACATATGGGCAGAAACTTTTCAGTAAATAAACATTTTATTTGAGTCACCCTAAAAGCTAAACTATTTGTTCTCCTTGCTTTACAGAATGTTGATTTCATCTTGAGGTAAAAAAAAAAATTTAAAATTTGCCTAGGATGCTGAGAACAAATTTTACAAATATTGATACAGGCCAGTGTCCCTAATGTCTCCTGAGTCCCCAGTGAGTTTCCTACAGCTAAAGTTGAGATACTTGGAAATATTTTTTGGGCAATGTGTAGAGGGTTGGGACAGATGAATGCTGTCAAAACTATTGGTATGTCACAAATTTTAATGACAATCAGGATCTTCCTCTGGAAAAGTTTAGAAAGAAAATGATGTCTCTGAAAAGTTTACCTTCTTTTTAATCTCCAGAACTCTTCCTTTTCTCTCATTTGCCTAGACACGGACTATAGCATGGGCCTGTGTAGATGCCTTCAATTTTGATCAAAGTCCTGCTGTCCAGCATCCAAGGACCTCTGAGAGATAAATGTTTTTCTTTAGTGTTTTCTCTTAAGGAGTTTCTGCCCTCAGTCAGAACTTCCACGCCCAGGGAGGGGACCCGGGTGGGTGACTCTGGAGCCACTCCTGCTAACTGGAAGGAACTGGGCGTTACCGGGCACAAAGCCAGGAACATGAACTCCGCTGAGGAACAAGATCTGGGCAGTGCAGTTGCAGCCCCTCAAAGCAAGGCTGGCAGCCAGCTCGCAGGGTGTTTGGCTACCTGGGGTAGGAATTCTGCTTCTGACAACAGGCAGTTTGTTCAGTTCTTCCTGCCCTGATTCCTCTCCTGCTGCTTTTCACTGTATCCCTGAGCTCTGTGGTAACCCAACCTCTCACCAAATTTTGCAACGTGCTCTAGGCTTCAAAACCCTGGCTCCACCTCTCCTTCCTCTGGAGCTGTATTTCCCTGTAAAGTAGAAAGCCAACCAAGATTGAGTTTCCTTAACTCTTTTCCTTTCAGGCTCGTGGAGCTGAACTCTTCTGACCTACATACCAGAAAGGCTGTATCTTATCCTCCCTCACCATCGACTGAAAGGTTCCCCCAGCAGTCTGATTTTGGGCTCCTTTCTGACCTAGAAGCTGACAAAGGAGCCACACTATTTCAGAAACACTCATCATTCAATAGGTTCCGGCTAGCACACAGCAGATCTCATTCGGGACAGCTTCTGGTTTCTCAATCCCAACACATCAAGTTTTTGTGTTTGTCTACCTGATTTTCTCCAGGTCCATGTTATCTTTCTCCTGTTGCTCTTCTTTTCTTTTCTTTTTTTCACTTCTGTGTTTTGCCTCTCTTTTGGTGGACTTTTCTCTTTTTTTCCCTTTATGATGTTTTATCTTCTTCTACTCAGCCTGCCCCTTTCTCCTGTTCCTTGCAACTCTCTGTTCCAGGGTTCAGCTAGGAGATTTTATGAGTCACTGGAGTTCCCAGACTGCTAATCGAGGGAGAAGGGCCATGTGTCTCTGTTCAGGGTTAGATTCCTGGCCAAGCCTATCCTAACTGCATGTATAATCTTCACCCCCCTCCTGCTGATGTTTCCTCACTGCTTCTTTAATCTGTAACAATGACCCAGACAAGAAGGCATCTTTTCACATTTAAATTCCTCAATTCCTTAGGCTTCTCAGATAGATGGCTGCCCTAAAAATGGCAGACGAAACCTGAGGCACAGGAAAATTATGAAAATTTTTTCCTTGAGAGCCCTCTGTCTGATTATTTATATTAGCTGTTATTTGATGGAAAGAGCACTAGACTTTTAAGACAAGTCCCAACTTTGCCACCTAGTAGCTGTATAACCTTAGGCAAATCATTTACCTTCTCTGGGCTCTTAGTGTCCTCAGCTTATTGTAAAATAGGAATGCTTAATGTTGTGGAGATGAGATCATCAGCAAGAAAGCACTTTACAAAGGGCAGTGAGGTGGTAGGATAAATGAGAAGGGATGATGTCTTGATTTGTCTTTAAATTCGGGAAAGGTAAAAGATCATTAGACATTGAGATTTGATTTGGTCAGTTTGTTTCTGCTGGGTCTCAGAGAAAGCTACAAGCTAGAAGAGGTGCAGAAATCCTTGTGGTAACATTTGGTTAAAATTGAGGGTCTCAGCTTTTTGCCCACAGAGGGCCCCAAGGAATTCTGTTTCTAGTTTTGGAGTTGTGTTGAATCCAGTCCTAGGCTCACGAGGCCCGTGGTGGTGGTTTGGTGCTTTGGGAAATGAAATCACTGCAAGATACTTTCAACATTCACTTTCCAGGCAAGCCTGTTTAAAAGGGCTTGTGGGGGCCAAACCCAAAGCAGCCTGGGACATTTCAGACTTGCACCACCTCCTCTGGCTGTTTCTGAGGCCATCTAGAGGCCAGACCCAGCCAGACTAACTGAAGAGTAAAGAGAGGACTGCAGAGTTTGGAACCTTTGTGCAGAGGAGCTCGAGCTCTTAGTGCAGAAGGCGGGAGGGAGGAAGGGAAGGAGGGCATTGGGAGCTGAGGCCCCACCTTTCCCTTCAGCCAAGTGCACAGGCAGAGCGGGATGAGTCACGGGCATAGGTGAGGAGCTCAGCTCAGACTCCTCTCTCTGGGAAAACGCATTGCGCTCCTCCAGGAGTGGCCTTGGCAAGGTGAAGGAGCCCTCTGTCTGGCCGGTCTGGTCTCTGGGGCCAGGGCTGGGTTCCCTCATGTATGGCAAGAGCCCTGCTCGTGTGGTGCTGCTTCTCCTTGGCATACAGCTCACAGGTAAGAGCCACAGGCTTCACTCAGTTTCCTCCTTCATCGCCTACCCTATAAAGTTAGCTAATTGTCTTAGAAGTTGCTAGAGCTTTGTCTGGGAGCCTGAGTCACAGTTGTAGTTTGCTTTAGTTTTGATTTTACTGAAACTGAAGTTGGTGGGTTGTTTTGGGGGAACTGCTTTTGGACAAACAGGTTTAGGTGTGTTTGGCTGCCAGTGATTCAGGCACAGAGAGGGCTTTCTAATCTCAGGTTACACACCATTTTTTTGTAGCCACTCTCAACCTCCTGCTGCCAGCAGGACTTGGCACTTGGATTTCTGTGTGTGGGTCATGTTTGGGACTCTCAGCAGCACTGAGAAAGCTTAGATTGTTAGAGAGAAAGACCCACTGTGGTTTTGAAACTGCCCCAACACACACATTCTAAATGTAAATATCATGGTAAAAAATGCCACGTGGTATAAAGGTTCCAGGGGTGTGGACAAGCATAGGCTATCTGGAGTTGATTAATTCTATTTCTGTGGAAGACTAGTAATAGTACAGAATCCATATAATAAGGACCCACTCTGGAAAACTTACCTGCTAGGAGACTTTTAATACAATATATAAAGCTTAATCTTTTTTTTTTTTTTGAGTTGGAGTCTCACTCTGTCACCCAGACTGGAGTGCAGTGGCCACTCCTGGCCACTTCAGCCTTGACCTGCTGGGCTTGGGCGATCCTTCCGCTCAGCCTTCCAAGTAGCTGGAACTACAGGCACACGCTACCACACCCGGCTCATTTTTGATTTATTGTAGAGATGAGGTCTCGCCAAGTTGCCCAGGCGGGTCTTGAACCCGCAGGCTCAGGCAATCAACTCGCTTCAGCCTCCCAAAGCACAGGATTACAGGCTGAGCCACCGAGCCCGGCTATGTAATGCTTAATCTTAATACATAGTGTAATGTCTAATCCATGTTATGATTCATTTTAATTTGTTTCTGCTTTCAGTGTTATTTGCTGATGTTTGTAGTTTATCAAAAGTTTGGAAGTCGGTACTACGAGGCTAGCCTATCACGTGGTGGAGAAAGTAAGAGCACTAGAAAGGTTCACTGTGGAATTTCTAGTTGTCATATGGAATGAGAGGGTCACAGTTGCATGTGGGTCACAGTAGCCAGACTCTGGGGAAAGTAGGCTTGGGAACTGGGGCATCTCAGTTCCACTTTATGCTCTACTCAGATATTTATCTTGGAAGTATCAGCACAAGTTCTCACAATACCCCTATTAACCCTTCTTTTCCCTTTTCTTCACTGCAGCTCTCTGGCCTATAGAAGCTGTGGAAATTTATACCTCCCGCGTGCTGGAGGCTGTTAACGGGACAGACGCTCGGTTAAAATGCACTTTCTCCAGCTTTGCCCCTGTGGGTGATGCTCTCACAGTGACTTGGAACTTCCGTCCTCAAGATGGGGGACCTGAGCAGTTTGTAAGTAGATTACTGTCATTTTCTAGGGACCCATGGTTAGGAAAAGAATAAGCTGGCCTATTTCTCTTTGCCCTCCCAGAATAGTAATTTTCTTAGCAACAAGCACAGGGTTGAGCTGGGAAACAGTTCTTGGGACAGACAGAACTGCAAGCCCAAGTGAGGAGGAGAGCAAGTGAGAGCTGCGGACAGCACAGTTAGAGGCTCACTGGTGTTTCTCTTCTGCTCCCACCATCTCAGCCTCCTTGCCCAGGTACCGAATAAGAAAGACTCTTGCCATTTCTGCTGTCTAGGTATTCTACTACCACATGGATCCCTTCAAACCCATGAGTGGGCGGTTCAAGGACCGGGTGACCTGGGATGGGAACCTGGAGCGGTATGACGCCTCTATCATGCTCTGGAAACTGCAGTTTGATGACAATGGGACATACACCTGCCAGGTGAAGAACCCACCTGATGTGGATGGGGTGATAGGGGAGATCCGGCTGAGCGTCGTGCACACTGGTAGGTTACACAGGGAACAGGGGTTTTGGGAAGTGTGGGAGTTTGTAGAAGAGAGGGACAGTCTGTTGTGATGACTGAAAGGGTGGAGAGAGGGACCAGCCCTTTGGAGCTGGGAGTCTCAGAGGGAGACTGAAGAGTCATGGAGTAAAAAGAGAAAGGCTTTGTTTGGTTGTAGAAAAAAAAAGAAAGTAAAGCAAAAGAACGCAGGGAATCTGTTACAAAAATGGCACTGAGATCACGAAAGGGAGAGGAAGCAACTCTGATAACAGACTAACAACAGGTCTATTCATTCACTTATTTATTCACAATACTTACTGAGTACCTACTGCGTGCTGGGCACTGTTCAAAGTGCTTGACACACACTATATCATTTAATCCTCACACCACTCTAGAAGGCAGACATCAATAATGGCAGTTAATGCTTACTGAGTACTTCCCAAATGTCAGGGCCTTAACTATCTCATCAGTTTCTTGTGCACTTAGTGCCTCCTGTTTTGCAACAGGCTCATGGAGGCTAAGTTACTTGCCCTAAGACATGTAGCTGGTAACTTAGAACTCAACCTTCATCACCTGTGACTTTAAGATTGCGCTCTGAACTGGTGCGTTGTATTGCCTGCATTCCTATAAAGGACAACCTGGTAAACTATGCCAGGTAACACAGCAAAGTACCCAAAACTTACAAGTTGTAGATCTGGCTTTGAGTCACTGCTACCATTTACCAGCTATAAATAAATCTTATTTTCCTCATCTGTAAAGTAATACATCGAGAAATACAGTGAGGAAAAAAATGAGACAATCAATGTGAAAATCTCCAAAATTCTGAACTGTTCTGAAAATGATAATAGCTATCATGTATTAAGTGCTTATTATGGAACAATTTATGTAAATTATTTTATTTATAAGAACTCAAGAAATGAAGATTACTATCTCTATTTTAGACTTGAGGAGACTGGGGTGCAAATAAGTGAATCACTCTAAATCACACAGCTAGTAAATGGTAAACTGGTATTTTAATCTAGCTCTCTCCTGCTGTGTGCTCTTAACCAATACACTACTAGCCCAAATGTATAAACCTATAAAATGTTATGATTTCCTCCTTTCATTCCCAGTACAGTCTAAAATCATTCCTCAAGCCTCTGCCAATAGGGCTGTGTGACCTTGGAGAAGTCATTTGAGTACTGAAAGAAATAGTGTAATGTTTTGCGACCTCAGTTTCTTCAACTGCAAAATGATCAGGTTGGACCAAAAAACCAATTGTTTTTAAATATATGTGGATAACTACTCTCTGAGAATCAAATGAAAGCCATGGCCCTGCTTCCCATAAAAAATGGAGTCATCCACAATGAGATATGGATTATGTGGCCGCTCCCCACTCTCCTTCATGAGACTCAAGGCTAGGAGCCCCTGGAGCAGACATTTTTAAATGTCCTTTCTGGCTCTGAGGGTTTATTGAAGTTTACATAAGAAATTAAGCTAAAGGACTGGAGAACCAGGATTCAGAGACTCTAGTCTGGTTTAGAGGTCCTTCCCTCCAGGATGGTTACCGCTTTCATTTATACACTAGACTGTGGTTACTGATTTCCTAAACTACCTTCCCAGCGAGCATGAGCTACCGGTGGGTAATATCTCTTTTTGCTTTGCATTTCTAACAGCAGTACCTAGAACATAGTAGGCCCTTAGTAAATCTGAATAAAAGACTGGCTGGGTGACGGTGATGGGAAGGAGTCAGGGAGAAATGAGTTTGAAGAGGTCAGCAATTACCTCACCCCACTGGTAGTGCAACCCACCCAGTGGGTTTCAAAATGGCGTCAAAATCACCTGGCAGACATGTGAAAACCCAGATTGCTGGGCCCCACCCCTAGTGTTTCTAATTCAATATGTCCAGGGTGGGCCTGAGGTTTTGCATTTTAAGTTCTCAAGTGATATTGTTGCTGCTACTCCCAGGATCACACAGTGAGAACCACTACAGTATCTGTATGATTTTCAAGGTTTACAAAGTAATATGATATTTTATTCAAAAAGGCAGGAGAAAGGAAGATTCAATCTCCTGAAGAAATACATCCCTATTACTATATCTTTAGACTCCATCATAGTGCTTCTCTTTTTATAATCTTGACTTAATCCTTTTCTCCTTACAGTTCGCTTCTCTGAGGTCTACTTCCTGGCTCTGGCTATTGGCTCTGCCTGTGCACTGATGATCATCATCGTCATTGTGGTGGTCCTCTTCCAGCATTTCCGGAAAAAGCGATGGGCTGAGAGAGCTCATAAAGTGGTGGAGATAACATCGTAAGGCTGGGCAGTTCTGGGAAAATCTTCTTGCACTCTGATGGTGACTCTTGGTATTCTGCAAGGGGTTAAGCAATTGTTAAACAGATGTTTTTCTCTTTGAGTAAATCCCATAAAAATAATTCGTATTCATAGGATAGATAAATTAGGTGTAAATGAGTAACTTTTCAAAAGGTTTCTTAATTTTACAAAAGATTTCATTACAGGATTTACTGTATGAGATTTGATTTTATAAAAATCTGCCTGCGTAAAGCTTTTCTAAAGTATCCCAAAAAGAGACGCAGACATTTGTAAGAACCACTATTGGCTAGGCAGGCAGCAGGGCCACACTGAATCAGTGACTAGGAAAGTCTGCTGTGCTGATAGTAGGTATCACTAATTTACACACTATAACATTCACCCCTTTAATGTTCAGAGTTGTGCAACACTCACTAATTCCAGAAACGTTTTAAGCCTCCCTCCACAAAAGCCCCCTATTCTCCCCACCCCCTGGCAAATGCCCCTCTGCTTTCTGTCTCTGTGGATTTGCTGACTCTGGATATTTCATTGAAACAAAGTTATAAAGTATGTAGCCTTTTCTGTCCAGCTTAATTCACTTAGCATGATATTTTCAAGGATCATCCATGCTGTAGCACGTATTAGAACTTCATTCCCTTTTACAGCTGTATAGTATAGTATTCCCTTATACGAATAGATGACATATTGTTTATCCCTTCATCAACGGATAGACATTTAGGTCTTCCAGTTTGTTGGCTATTATGACTAACGTGGCTATGAACGTCTACTAGTTTTTATGAAGACATTTTTCAGTTCTCTTAGGAGTGGAATTGTTGAGTCATATGGGAACTATGTTTGCTTTTTTGGAGGAATTGTCAGACTGTTTCCCAAAACAGCTGGGCCATTTTAACATTCCCATCAGCAATGTATGAGGGTTCTAATTTCTCCACATCCTTCTCAACACTCATTGTCTTTCTTATTATAGCAATCTAGTGGATGTGAAGTGGGGTCTCACTGATGTTTTGATTGTGCTTTCCTATAATAATAATCTGGAGATGTATCTATCCAGATAGTTTCCTCTGTATTTATCTATCTATTTATTCATTTAAGAGATAGGGTCTTGCTCTGTTGCCCAGGCTAATCCTAGTTCACTGAAGCCTTGAACTCCTGCTCAGTCTCCTGAGTAGCTGGGACTGTGGGCGTGCACCACCACACCTGGCAAATTTTAAAATTTTTTTTGTAGACTGGAGTCTTGCTTCATTGCCCAGGCTGGTTATGAACTCATAGCCTCAAGTCATCCTCCTTCCTTGATCTCTCAGAGTGCTGGGATTACAAGTGTGAGCCACTGCACCTGGCTAGTTTGCCCATTTTAAAATGAGGTTGGGGCCAGGCATGGTAGCTCATGCCTGTAATTCCAGCACTTTGGGAGACTGAGGTGAGAGGATTGTTTGAGCCTAGGAATTTGAGACTAGCCTAGGAAACAGCAATACCTCACCTCTACAAAAAATAAAAATAAAAAATTACTCAGGTACGAGGTGTGAGACTAGAGTCCCAGCTACTCAGGAGCTGAAAGCAGGATTGCCTGAACCCAGGTGGAGGCTACAGTGAGTCGGGATTATGCCACTGCACCCTAGCCTGGGCAACAGAGTAAGTCTTTGACTAAAAAAATACATAAATTAATAAATAAAAAAAAAATAAAATAAGTTTGGTTATTTGTCTTTTTATTGTTGAATTGGAAGAGTTCAAGGGATACTAGACCCTTACCAGGTATAAACAGCTTGCAATCATTTTCTCCTATTCTATGGATTGTCTTTTTATACTCTTGATAATGTATTCAAGAACATTAAAATTGAAGAACAGTTTAAATTTTGACAAGTCCAATTTATCTATTTTTTTCCTTTGTTGTTAGTGCTTTTGTGTCCTATCTAAAAAATCATCTCCTAATCCCCAAAGTTACTAAGAATTACCCCTGTGTTTTCTTCTAAGAGTTTTATGCTTTTAGCTCTTACATGTAGGTCTTTGACTCATTTTGAGTTTATTTTTGTATATGGTTGTGGTAGGAATCCAGACTCATTATTTTGCATGTAGATATCTAGTTGTCCCAGTACCATGTTTCCCTCAATAAATACTTACTGAAACAAACAGAATTGAATATAAGAAGATTAAACAAACCCAACTCTGAGGTTCTGGTTTGAATAGAATATAATCAATAAAAATGACTTCTAAGTCAACACAAAATGTTTTCTTTTATAAAATAAGGAGTAAAAATTGGAGGTAGGATACTAATAGTAAAATAAAGTGCCTGCTTTAAACTTCTGGAGTTCCTAAATCAGCACCCAAACTGTATTTCCTTACATTCTGAAAAGGAAATACAGTTCAGATACACAGGTCATGTGGAGGTATGAGTATGTTTAGTTAGATGGCACTGGTTAGTTAGATGGCACTGGTTGAGTTCTGTAAGCTTCGATCTACTCCCAGGTGCATGTAATTTCTCCTAAAATACAGGCGGGGGAATACCTTACCTAAAGCTTCTGTAGGATTTGTCTCTCTTGCTTCTTTTCTTGTTTACTTGACATTTGGTTTCTGCTTCTTTGTTACAGAAAAGAAGAGGAAAGGCTCAACCAAGAAAAAAAGGTCTCTGTTTATCTAGAAGACACAGACTGACATTTTTAGATGGTAAGCTTCCCAAATAAGTTGATTTCTTTTCTCAGCTTTCTGACCTGCGAAGCCCATCTCTCATGTGGAGCTCCCAGATTACATTATAAGGTTGTTAGATGTTTCCTATATGAAATTAGAGGAGCTGGGTCAGGAAGATAAAAGGCTTAGTCTTAGCGATGGCTCCCCTTTTGAGTGTATTTTGTGCGAAGAATTAAGAAGGTGGACTCTACTGCAGCTATTTTTCTTTTTGGGGGGTGGATACTGTAATTAAAGCTGACAGAATTCTAAGGTTATTTGTGCTTTGGGGGTTATTTTTATCATAACTAATAATAATAATAAATGTTCAAAATGTAAATAAATCTTTTTTTTTTTTGAGTCAGGGTCTCACTCTGTCACCCAGGCTGGAGTGCAGTGGCCCACTCACGGCCACCCGCTTTCCAAGTAGCCAGAACTACAGGAGTGTACTACTAGGCCTGGCTAATTTTTTTGATATACTGTAGAGACGAGGTCTCACTAAGTTGTCCAGGCTGGTCTTGAATCCCTGGGCTCAGGCAATCCTCTAGCCTTGGCCTCCCAAAGTGCTGGGATTATAGGCTTGAGCCACCCACTTGACTAATAAACTTTTAATGAAAAAATTAATATCTCCTTTTTTATTGCAAACTAATCATAGCATTAATTTTATTTTTCCAGTTTTCAGGTCTATCAGGCTTAAAAAGTAGGCTGATTTATTTTTCATATGCTCAGAATTTCTTCCATTCTCTGAAGTAGGTCCACACATTTAATTTCTAGATGTTGTAAATCAAGACACGTAAACTTGAAATTTGCACTTGGAAATTGCAAATTAATTGACATTAATGACTTTACCTTGTAAAATTCTTGTTTGTCTCTCCTAAATGGGAGCAAATGTTTTTATAGACTAAAGCTCCAATGAAAGATCTCAAGGATTTATAACATAGATTATGGAGAAAAATAATTGTGTTGTAAAATCAGAAAATCAAATGTAGTATCAAGGAGTTTTTATCAAGGGCTATTGATTTTTTAAAATTAAGCAGATCCTCTAACAAGTTGGGGTCATGGAAAATAAAGATAGGAGCTGTTTAGGTTATAAGAAACTTAAGAGATTAACACAATGTGCCATATGTGATTCCTCACTGGATGGATACTAGTTTGAATAAACTAGTTGTAAAAAAAAACCTCATAAATATATGTAGATCACTACTCTCTGAGAATCGAATGAAAGCAAAGCCCTGCTTCCCATAAAAACATGGAGCCATTTACAATGAGACATGGGTTATGTGGACGATCCCCACCCCCCTTCATGTGACTCAAGGCTAGGAATCCCTGGAGCAGACATTTTTAAATGTCCTTTCTGGGTCTGAGGGCAATTGGAAAAATAGTCAATATTTGGATAATATTAGGGAATTATTGTTAGTTTTTATTAGGTGTAATCATGATTGTGGTTATAAGAAAAATACCCCTATTTTAAAAATGCATACTGGAGTATTTAGGGATAAATGTCAGCAATTTGGTTTAAAATTTAGCCTTCAAAATTAGGTGATATGTGAATTCCATACACTGTCTTCTCTACTTTTCTGTATGTTTGGTTTTGTTTATAATGAGAGAGAAAAGTGGGGAGGATGTGGAATGTATGTCTTTGAGTGAGCTATGGATCATCCAAATGTCCATGCAAGGCTATAAGTTAAGGATACTGACTCTTGAGAACTGTGTTACAAAGATTAAGAAACTTCTTCAGGCCAGGCGCTGTGGCTCAAGCCTGTAATTCCAGTACTTTGCAGGACCAAGGCAAGAGGACTGCCTAAGCCCAGGGGTTTGAGACCAGCCTGGGCAACATGGTAAGACCTCATCTCTACAACAAATAAAAAAATTAGCCAGGCATGGTAGTGCATGCTTATAGTTCCGGCTACTTGGAAGGCTGAGGTAGAAGGATCACCGGAGCCCAGCAGGTCGATGTTGGGGTGGCTGTGAGCCTGCCACTGCACTCCAACCTGGGCAACACAGTTAGACTCCAACTGAAAAAAGAAAGAAAGAAAGAAACTCTTTAATAAATTACATTAAAGGGAGAATATGTTTAGGAATATTTTCCTTCTGAATGGAGAATAGATCTAATAATATATATGTAATTCATAGCACCAAGTACTCCTATTGCACTCTTTCCAAATATATTATTCATTTAAAAATTTGTTTTGTGTTTTAGGAAGTTGGAGGTTTCCAAAAACAAAAACCCTCATATTTCTTGAAGTTAAGGGAAACGTTTCTTTGGCTTTTCCAGTTGTGACCTGCCTGCCAACCAATTCTGCAGCACATATCCACTAGATAAGCACATCGCTCTGGAGCCAGCATCGAGCTCTTCTTGAACAGATACCACCAGACTCACACACAGCCTCATTATGAAGGTTTTATTTAATTTCAGAGTGCAAATATTTTTCAAATGCTCATTAACTTTTGTAAACTAAGAAGCTACATTTTTACCTTTAAAACACTCCTTGTGGATTATGACTTGTTACTCATATATTGGCATCAAAGGGGGAGATAAAAGCCAACTTGTCTGTCATGACATTTCCTTTCACATATTAGTTTCTTTAGAGCCACATTCTTGCTACCAAAGTGAATGTGTTTACTCCTTTTCTTTCCTGGATTCTCAATTAGAAGGTGAGCTTAATCTCCTAGCTGTTTTAGACTGATTAACAGTAAATCCTAAATTCAAACTACTAAACAGTATTTTTATTTCTATGGTTATCCCTAAGTATGGAGCACATCTTATTTAATTTCTAGGCCACAGAGCTTTTTTGTTGTTGTTTTGTCCATTAACCCAAGGTTTACAACAGCACAAAGCTAAATCACATAGTAACTACAAAAGGTTACATAAATGCTAATAGTTGGGAAATGTCACTTCTGGATGAATCACTTGTCACCTTTCTTCTGTGCTGTGAAAAATAACTAACAGTGTAGGTTTTTCATGAGCAGTAACTGACTGTTTATCTTATCATGTTTTTCCCCCATTCAATAATCTATAACAGAGCAAATGTGTATGCTCATATGTTAAGTAGACTCATTAAACAGATTAATAGAAAGATTCTGAAATCATATATTACAAGGCTGAAAATTTAGGGCTGCTGAAAAAGATCACCTCTAGATGTTAACTTTGTACAGTATTATACAAAACTCTGAGAACTGGCAGAAATTATTTAAATTTTTTCTTGTTCTTTATTTTTTGGGTTGTAATTCACTTCCTGATTTGGGGGAAGGGAGAACTTGGTATGGAACAAAGACATATCAAAGTGACTTTAACTGAATGAAAACAACTTTATCCTTTCTTTCCTTATGCTGGTAGATAAAGCAAACTTTATAACTGGGATATGGAAAAAAGAGTGCCTTTTAAAAAGTGTATTATGGTTTCCCAGTGTCCTTCCAATCTTAAGCTACAGTAGCATTTGTTCAAAGGACAGAAAACATCTCACTGTTTAGGCTCAGTCTTTACAGCCTGATATTTTCAGTTTTCATTGAGTAGACTGCAGATATTATTTAACAAACTAGAATTTTCAAATAGATATTCTGTATTTAATAATACTGAATCTTTATATTTTTCCAACACTAGTTTTAAAAAATTGGTATTATTTACATATAAATCTTGATTCCAAAGCTCATTACATACCTGTCTCATTCTGCCTTTTATATTGTCTAAAAAAGTAAAATTTCAATACTCAATTTTGAAATGAAAATTTAGATTTGGAGGCTATATTACCCTTAATCCACATTTTATAATTTTCTTCATAATTCAACCTTTGAAAATGTAACTGAATATTTCGTTAAACAGATGGCTTGGATGAAGTTCCATAAGAATAACAAAGTAGCCAAAAATGCAGGGAGAATTTTTCCAGCAAAATGTGTCGCTTGTGTCTTGACTAAATACTCAAGGGGTAATATGGACCTGTTGTTTAATGTCTTCTTCCTAAAAAGCACTTTTCTATTGTAATTTATTTTTTATTATGCCCTAAACATTATGTAAATAAACATTTAGTAATAAAGAATTATTGATTATATAATTTGTTTATATGTAAATCTAAACATTCTATACAGCAGATAACAGAAAATATAATTTTCTGGATATATAATTTACCTTCACTGAAAAGTTTTCTTAGTGGAGACAACCTGGAAGTCAATAATGGATAGAATTACTGGATGAATAAAAGTATACAGATTTCCACAGAATTTTCACATTGCTTTGGATAGCAGGGAATTGGGCATAAGAACACAACTCAGTTTGGTGACTCTTTCCAGGGAACAGTATCAAAGATTCTATCTGGTACTCTTACATTACATTTTTAATAGAGAAAACGATCAGCTTTCAAGGCTAATAAAGGAATGGGAATTGAAAAATAGAAAGTTATTAAATCTTCCTAAAAGCTGAAGCATATGTGTTCCCCTCCTGCTTTCATTAAACATGAGATAATTCCTGGATAATATAGGCCTACTAATGATTAAAGCAGGGTACTGTACCACCTCTTTTTCAGATGGATGTGACAGCATCTCACTTCACTTTTCCTACCAATAGATACACAAATCCCAGTTCCTATTTTCCCAGAATATAGGTTGCAGTGATTTGATCATCACTGCCACTGTCAACAGTAATTTAATAAACACCCAATTCTGGATGTTGTACTAGCTACCCTAAAAAGGACAGGCACCAAAGAGGCTTGTGGCACCAACACCACAAGGGCCTAATGCATATTTATCTATCGATTGATCTCCTAGGTCTTTCTGAACTCTGAATGTACGGGAATCTATTCTGAGAGTGTTCAACTGAAATAAGCTCTAGAGGTAAAAAGGATGTCTTGAATACAGTCAGAGAATCCAGATTATTTCATGCTGCAGAATCCCATAAAAACAAAACAGTAAATTTTCCAAGTCGGCCGCCCACTTAAGAGTTAAAGAATGGAAGTGCAGCGAAACCAGGTGCGGTCCTGGAAAGAAGCCAGGTTCCTATGGCAACTTCGGATCGCCAGTTAAAAGTTTTCTGGCTGCCTCCCGCCCCGACGTCACTTCCGGTGTTACCTGTGTCGTTACTGGGAGCCGTAAACAAGGTGTGCAAGCATCTGGAGAGCTGTCGGGATGCAGCAGAGCGGAGCGGCTAGAGCCCGTAGCTGCGTTCTCTTCTCTTTACTGGGAGTCCTGTTCCACGGTGAGCGCGCCGGCTGGCTAAACTCCACTTCCGGCTGGGGGGGGTAGGGAAGATGGTCGCTTTTCCGGTTCCGGGGGGGAGGTCTTCGGAAAGACCCCGCTCGGCTCCTGGGAGGAAAGGAAGGAAGAGGGTTTGAGGAGGATGTCCCCTCCTAGTGATCCCCACCCACTGAAGGACGGTGGTGTCTTGCTAGCCCCTTCCTGAGCCCTGGGAGCTCGACCACTTTGCGTGACTTCGCATTCTGTTTTGGTGATGCATAACTTGATGGAACCACAAAGAGCTCTGACGTTGGGGGCACCTTGTGATATCAGTGGTTGACTTCTGTGGTTTTGTGTGCTGTATACTTTGATTTGAAAAAGGCGATTCTAGTGTTTAGTAGTTTGACCCGGTAACTATGGGAAGCAAAATCAAGACTGTTGGTAATTTAATTTTTTTGTAGATCATTATCAAGGGCTATGAAATAAGACGATTGTTAGTCACAGGAGGGACGTGCTATGAATTTGTTACAATAGAGAAGCATATTGTTGAGGAAAAAGCAACTGCTTTAGCATTTTAATAACACACTTTAAAGTGAAAAAAAAGAGCATATCAATTCTGTTAAAATTTTAATCTAGTAATATCAGAAATACAGCATTTACACCATGGCATTGTCTTAAAGTTTAGATGTTTTGTTTTCATGCAATTTTCAAATAGCATAAATTTCAATCCAAACTAATTACTTTCATGTTAGGGTGCAATTGCTTCCTGGAGTGAGTGTGTGTGTGTGTCTTCCTGGGAAATCAAATATTAGTTTAGCTAGCATTATAGTGAATTCTTAACTTCATAAGATTTCCCTGTGGGTAGTGGGTATTTCTGAAAGGGACACTTAATTTATGTATATGGACTTCAAGTGTCCTAAATTTCAACAGGTAAGGTTGGGAACTATTTATCTGGTGACTAATATTCATGCTGCCAGCACACTCCCTGATCCTTCCCAGCTGACTGTGTCATCATGTGTTCAGTGTTTTAGGTAAATTCTTTTGCAATATAGTATTTAGGTTGGCCTACTGTCACTCCAAATAAACCCAATTCCTTACCCTCCCTCCCCCTCTGTGGGCATGTGCACACATGGGAAATGTTCAAATATTGTCCTATTGAGGAAAAAAAAATCTAGAAATTGAATCATTTTCTTAATTCTAATGTCCTTCTGCACTGAAGAGCATCTGTCAAGTCCAGTATATCAATAATTCAATCAAACATTAAAAGATGATTTTATGATCTCCATGTATTTGTTGAATTGATCTTTTGCCTTAAAAAAGCTTTATTGAGATATAATTCATATGCCATAAAATGTATCCATTTAAAGTATACAACTCAATGGTTTTAAGTTTATTCAAAACTATGCAATTATTACCACAGTCAATTTGAGAATATTTTTATCACCCCAAAAAGAAGCCCCATACCCATCAACAGTCACTCCTCATTCCTCTTTTTCCCACAGCCCCTGGCAACATCAATCTACTTTCTGTCTCTATGGATTTGCCTATTCTAGACTTTTCATTAAATGGAATCATACAATACGTGGTGCTCCGTTGTGACTGATTTCTTTCACTTAGCATGTTTTCAAAGTTCATTAAAATTTTCTGATGTTATTTTTGAGTCAGTTAGGTGACAGACTTTGGTTTCACACCAGTGTTTATTTGCTTTCCCTTTTCAAAGATAAGACTTCTTCAGTTGTTAGCTTATTTGAAGTCTCTCTAAGTTCTAAGTCTGGTCCTGCCAGACTTGTATCAGTACCTAGGTATATAGAAACATTAGACCAAGAAGACTGGGGTTCTTACACTCTTCTCTTTTCCATTTAGTGTGAAATTATATAGGTCAAAGATTGGGAGATTTATATTTTAGAAAGTGGGGCATACAAAATTGGGAGCTTAATTTATTTCACGTATAAAATAATGTTAAAATGTGATTTTCTTCCACCCACCCCAGATTAAACATTTTTGCTAACTATTACAAATATTTCTATACTTGGCTGTTTTGACAGGGAAAACATGCTTTTTTATGCAGATGAAAAAACAAATATCTTAAGGACTTTAGACCTAGAGTGGACATTTCTGAATGAATTAACATTGGATTGACTATTTTTCTTCTGTTTTATTTTCATGAGTGGATGATTCAAACTATGTTACATCCATTGATTTTTAAAATAATTTTATTTCAATATAATATATATAGAGAAAAGTGTACATATCACAAGTGTATATAGCTCAATGAATTTTCAGCAACTGAGCACATCCAAATCAGGATATATAGAATGTTCCTGGCATTCCAGTAGCCTTCCTTGGACTTCCTTCCAGTCATTATATCTTCTCCCCTAAGAGAAACCAACATTCTGATGTCTAATGGTATAGATTAGTTCATCTGTGGATCTTACTTTTCTGTAACTATACGCTTAAGATCCACTTATCCAGTATTTAGATTTCAATAAAGTGACTGTATACATTGATAACGTTGTGGCAAAATAATGCTCATAAATATGGGGTTCAGATATATATATTAACAAGGAAGAAGTTGGTAGGTAGGTAGCTTTATTGATGGTGATGCACTTACCATAATTTTGTAATGAAAATTTGCTTAGAATGTGTAATTTTTATGTGTATTTTGTATAATGTTTGTTTTATTAAAAGGAAGCTGTTGGTTTGACCTAATTAAATACATATTACTAAGCATCCACAATGTGCTAGGCCCTGTTTTGATGAGCTCTGAGTATATTGGAGAAAACAGAGAAGTCAGCAGATAATTTTAGAATCTGGTACTAAGAGAGGAATGCAGTAGAAATCATGGACATTCAGGGAAGGTATGCCATGAGTATAAAGGAAATAGTTCCTGGAGGTGTCATCAAAGTTAAATCTTGAGAGAGAAATAAGAATTTGGTAAAGGTAGGAAGTAAGAAAAAGTTTAGGCATAGAGAGGAGCATAAACAAGACATGGAACCATTAAATAACTTTCCAAGTAAATTTTCTGAAACTTACTTTATTGGATTAACTTAGATTACCTATTGACCCCAAGCCTGTCTCTGATCAGGATGATGGTATGCGGGAGCCAGAGCAGGAACCTTAAGTGCATCTCTTCCTAACTTGGCATTCAGGGACTTTACCTTGTAGCTTGAGGTTAACTATGGTAGTAGTCTCTGCACCACAGAAATTTTCCAGCCCTACATATCTGGGCTTTTTTTGGTAAAAAACTTTTTTTTAGTTGGAGTCTCACTGTTGATTTTATCTTATATTGTTGTCCTCCTAGTTTTCTCCATGTCCACTGCCCACTGTTAGTTCCAAATTCCCTTCTTTCTCACTTGACTATTGTTGTAGCATCCTAAGTAATCTCCCCTTGACTCTTTTATTATTATTATTATTATTTTTGAGTCAGGATCTCACTCTGTTACCCATCCTGGAGTATAGTGGACTGATTATGGCTCACTGTGGCCTTGAACTCCTGGGTCCAAGTGATCTTCCTGCCTCAGACTTCCAAGAGCTAGGCTACAGGCACATGTCAGCATGCCTGGCTAATTTTTAAATTTTTTTTGTAGAGACAAAGTCACACTATGTTGTCCAGGCTGGTCTCAGACTCCTGGGCTCAAACAGTCTTCCGACCTCAGCCTTCCAAAGTGCTAGTATTACAGGTGAAAGTCACCATGCCCAGCCTTCCCCTCGACTCTTGACTCCTTCCAAAGTGATATGTATGTATGTATGTATGTATATATGTATGTATTTTTGAGTCAGAGTCTCACTCTGTTGCCCAGGCTGGCATGCAGTGACATACTCACAGCCACTGCAGCTTTGATCTGCTGGACTCAGATGATCCTTCTGCCTCAGCCTTCCAAGTAGCTGGAACTACAGGCATGAACCACCATGCCTGGCTATTAAAAAAAAAAAAATGTTGTAGAAATGAGGTCCTGCCAAGTTGCCCAGGCTAGTCTCAAGTCCCTGGGCTAACACAATTCTCTCTCCTCTGCTTCCCAAAGTGCTGGGATTATAGGTAGGAGCCATCACACCGGACAAAGTGATCTTTTAAAAATGCAGATTTCAGCTGGGCTTGGTGGCTCAGCCTGTAATCCTGTGCCTTTGGGAGGCTGAGGTGAGTGG